TATATATATATATATATATATATATATATATATATATATATATATATATATATATATATATATATATATATATATATATATATATATATGTATACACGTCTCTTCGGCCGATGGCTGGTTCATTACGCAATGACTACGTCCGAGATATAGAGGCCCGCTTCGAAACCAGTTTCAAATAGCTGCCAGGGAGGATAGGTGGAAGAGGCGTACCGGGGCGGAGGGGCACGGTGAATTATCCTTCCGCAACCTGGCCTAACTGAACAACAGGCGAGTCCCGAGAGCGCGCGCGCGCAACACCGTGCGGAAACGCTGGGCTCCTCGGGAGAATAGTCGCCGCACGACTATCGCGACGTTAAGGCAATATATGTGGCAATTAACGCGCGTGCCTTTTGCTTGCTAAAGATGTGCCGAGTATGACGAGTCGAATCGAGCTGGTTCTGAAAAGGAGCGGAGACCGAGCGCGCAAAGCGCTGTACTTCACGACGGACAAGAGGAGCGGAAGATTCTCTCCGATCGAATTTTAATTCGAAGGTCGACGAGAGATGCGTCGCGCCGAGTGCGCGCGTTTTACACTTTTTCGTTTCTCTTCTTCTGCGCATGACGTAACTCTCGCGCAAAACAAACGCAATGTCGCTCCTTCGCATTTGGGAAAAAGCAGGCGGCCCGTGAGTAAGAGGATTAACAATATGTACGTCGTTACGCGTGGAGCCAGAACGCGGAATTAATTGAAGAGGGGCCGCGTGAGCTCGTAATAACGCTCCTAATGGACGCGTCGCGCTTCGCGATTTTCTCCATTCGACTTTCGATGTACGTCGGCCGGATGGCGCGCGATTACCGCCGTCGCATCCGTCGTCCCCGTGACTCACTTCTTTATTCAACCGGATTACTCAAGCGCGCGATATCAAAGCGCACGGTTAATCTCGGGCATGCGTTCCCGCGTCCTTTTCCTCTCCCGTCCCATCCAGAAGATTGTAACTGACACTTTGAGATACCACAAAAATAGTAATATTACTAAATTGCAACGTGTCGAAATACTGACAAATCAGTTGAAAGAATCGAATATCGAGATTAAAGAAGAAAAGAAGCCAACGGAACAGAGATTCAGCGTTTCGATTAACGTGACGTTCGCGAGCGCTACTCAGAGAGCTACTCTAATGGTTATACTTAAAAACACGCGAGTCTCCGCCACACCGGCGGCGGCGGCGGCGGCGGTTACGTAAGGCCTGATGAACGAGAGAATAAAATATACAACGGCGCGCGCCGCCGTACTCACCGCGGCGGTATCGATACCCGAAGGTATCGGTTGCATTCCTCATCTCGTACGCGGTTTTCCGCCCCTTCTTCTGATTCATCGCCGGCGGAGAGAGAGATGACGAACGAGAGAGGAGGACTCGCGTTCCTCACCCCCGCGATTCACCCTGACGTGGATTTCGCTGGAACTCGCGCGCGCGTGGGCGAGAGAGCGCTCGGCGAGGAGGTCTACGCACACGCGCACACCCACACGGGAGCGCGCACATCGAATTTCTCTTTCTACGCCACGGGGTACGTCCTAGGCCGGCGATCCATTAGTCACGTCGAGCGCGACGACAAAACTTTACGAGCTAAATGGCCGGTACACCTTGGCCCCGCGCAAACCTGCAATTCACTCCGTCGCGAGTCGCAAGGCGCGCGCGAGAAGGACGCAAAACTTGAGCATTAAAGTCTCTGGCCGTACGCGCGCGCGTTTACGCCAGGCAGAGCGAGGTTCTTTTCATAAGTGGGATATCGCCAGTGTAGCTAGGCGACACATCAATGGGACGTCGGCGTGACTTCGCGTCGGGTTCTTTTCGCGCCGCGGAGAAGAAAGAAGAAGGACGTCTAGACGCGACGGTCGTCCCGTAATGGATTCCGTTAAGCGTCGCCTGTCGATTTCGCGGTGGTGAATTCTTTTTGATTTTTTCCCTCTCTTTCTTTTAACTTCTTTTTCCTCTTTACAACGCGACATTCGCGGCCACATACGTAAGTGTCGGCGATGTCGACGAATTTCGTGCACGTACGTACACAGACATACGTGGCAATACGGTAACTCGAAGACTGCTAACGGTCCTAAAATTGTCATAACGTAAAAGAGATATCGAATATATGAGAGAGGCAAATGTGTCATCGAGACTACTTTGCATATGCAGCACACCTCAGAATTGGAAAGACAACAAATCTCCCGCTATATTTTCGCATGTTCGCTGATGGTTGGAAAAATTGTCTTTAAGGACAATGTGTAAGACAGTATGAAAGACAGTAGGAAGGGAAAAATATCTGAAGTTGATCTGAGGTAAGTTTTACCTCAGATCACTTACAAAACAACAACAACAATAACAACAATAATAACAACACCAACATCTAAACTTGGTAGCAGTTACCTGTAAGTGTAGAATTATTAATGGTGTTGTTTGCTGTGGAAATGGCCGATTGGCTGGTGACAGGTGTGCCGACGGTGGTGGTCGTAGTGGTCGAGGAATTATTTGGCGATAGGGCGGCGCTGGCGGCCTGGACCTGAGCCTGAACATGAGCCTGCTGTTGCAGATTATAATTCCACGCAAGCAGCATCAGCTTCAACTTGTCCGGGTCCTTCATAAGCGCACCTGCCACTAAAAGTGTGAAGTGGTTGCAATAGAAAACTCATCAATAAAAAAAAACTGATGATCACGCGCGAGCGAACAAAGCTCGCGTTGCTCAAGCTCTTCCACTCTATTTCCCCCTCCTTTCTCTCTCTCTCTCTCTCTCACATACACACAGCGGGAGACCTTGCTCATACGAGAGTGGGATCACGTCCGGGCACGATTCTATATCGCGAGCGAGTCGCGACATTCGTCATCTACCGTCCGGCCGGGGGCCGGCCTGCTCGGCGGTCGCGCGAGGCCGGAGGCTATTATCACTTATCAGCTACCTGAGCGCAATACTCGCGAGCGCACGCAGCTCCGACCGGGAGCGAATAAATTAAACTTACAAAACAACCACGACGCGTCCCGTCGACTCGATTTAATCGGCGCTTAATAACGCAACAGGTTTAATTACCCGAAACTGATAAATCGGCGACGGTCGCGCGCGGTCCTCCGCTCGTAACCGGGGAACCGTGCGTGCGTGCGTGTATGTGTGTGGTGTGTACGCGCGCGCGCGCGCGTGTGTATTTTTGTATGCATGTGTGTGCGTTCGTTACGATTATTAATCGATCGAGTAATTTACACGAGCTCTGACAAAAACCAACTCGCGGCCGGGATTAAGCCCCGCGAGAGAGTGAGTCTACGATTAACTCCTCCCCCTCCCTCGCCTGTCTCCGTTGCGCGCCGCGCCATCCGGAGTACGCGGCTCATGATTTATCCTCGGACACGGCGGTCAGGCTGGCGGTGAGAGACGTCGTTAGATTATTGATCAGCGCCGCGGTACAATTCGACGGGCGCGATTAACGACGTCCTGTCCGCGGTTCGCTGCTCCGTGAGATATCCACCGCTACCGGGCGGAAAGAAGAGGGACCACTTCGAGACCCTACGATCCGGTTTTGAGCGTCGTCGTCGTCGTCGTCGTCCGCCACTCGGGCCATCGTGACTCGTCCCGATACCGATACCGATACACACGCGCCGCGCGCGATGATATTCTAGAGAGCGAGCGATGACGTGCGCGCGCGTTCTTCGTCTTCTTCTCGCCAGGAGGCGAAGCGATGCGATGCGACGACGACGAGCGAACAACAACGTGACCCGCACAGCGGAAACGAAAAATAAGAGACCGGCCGGCGATAGTCGCCGTCAAATCGCCAACGATACACGACCGGACTGAGCCCCGGCCAGCGATGAGTAATGCGCGCAGCGACGCGAAATGTGCATTTCCGGCGATAAGTGAGTCGCGATCTGATTCGCGATCGACGCGATGCGAGCCCCGGGAATGTCTGCAATCCCACTCCTGATGAATATAATTCCGCTCGAGAATACCTTTCCGAGACTCACAGAGAGACACTCGCCAACTTCCGTAAAAGGTCCGGAAAAATGTTAACAAAGCAAATTTTAACGAGTATATTTGCAGATTTTAATTTTATTGCACATTTTATTATTTTACTTTAGAAAAGTTGAGGCTTTTCTATATTTCTAGCCAAAAATATGCCCAAGAATTTCGATTTTCAACGAAGTTATGTTAGTTAAAAGTTGTCAGACAGGATTACTCTACATATTCCGTAAAATATGACGCGAAGGGTTAATATAATTATAATAATAATAATTCGGGGACGCAAGCAAACTCATTGAACGTATGGATCGATACTGTATATATATACATGTGTGCTGTGTGTGTAACTTCGTTTATTCGCTCTCGCGAAATTATCGATCTTCCCTTTTTCTTTCTTTTTCTCTACCGCAACGTGCCTCCGCACGCATCCACTCGACTCTCTCTCTCTCTCTCTCTCTCTTTCTCTCTCTCTCACTCTCTCACTCTCACTGTGTCTATCTCGGTGCAAAGAGCGCCCCGAAGACGAGCCGCTCATTCCTGCCCGCCGTGAAACCGTAATCGAATGCACGGTGCTGAGTAACGCGCTCGACGATACTCTAATTCGACGTATCGATCGTCCGTGCCACGCGAGCCGTGGACGTAACACACGCGGATCCGACTCGGAATCGAGTCGCCGATATTAACCCTTAGATTGCCGCGCTCCGATTTATTGCGCGAAGCGCCACACGAGAAATCCCGGCGAACGGTATTCGAAGACCAAAATCGAGATATCCGCTTCGATAATTGGACCACTTTATCCACGATACGGTAGGATAATTCGATCAAATTGATTCGTTTCACGTGATCAGCTTGCACAGCTTGATGAACTCTCAAAGTCGCGACAGCTCCTATAAGATTCAGTGATCTGCCTCCGGATCTACTTCGCGCTCGAGGCTCGAGGTCGAGAAATTCTTCTCGCGTCGGCGAATTTGTCGTTTTCGCGTTCTGGAATTCGCGTCAACTTCGTCTCCACGGTTGGCATGCTCCATTCGCGTTACTACTTTTCTCCCCCGACATTCGACTCGGCTCGGCTCATGAGCTCACGAGCTCACTTGGGGTAAACCATTGGCTCCTTTTGCTTCTCTCCGTTCACCCTTTATTTCTATTTTTTATCTCGATTTTCGAGGCTACTCAATGTCGAGGATTTTCGCGTCCCGTCAGCTTCACAGTCATTAAAGCTGCGCAACGACAGATTCGATCTGTTAATAGCTTTAATACAACTTATTGTAACAAGGCGTCGCAACGACGACGACGACGACGACGATGACGATGACGGTAGTACGAAGTGCACCGGACGGGCTTACTATTAATTCGCGCAAATTCCGCCGGGAACGACTGAAACAACCGTGGCCGCGCGTAGTCCCTAGCGGTGCACAACCGCACGTAATCGGGCCGGAGAGGTTCAAAGGGACTGTCCGCAGATTTTCTAGCGTATATCGCGGGGCACGTGCTCCCGTTTGTTCGTCCGAGTAGCGGAATTAGCGGTGACACGCGCAGACGGACGTTTTGGTCGCGCCGCCGACGACGACGACGACGACGGAGAGTGGAGATTTATTAGCCGGCGAACAAACCCGCTGAGGGAAAGAGAGAGAGAGAGAAAGAGAAAGAGACGAGAAAACGTGTGTATATATATACAGAAAGAGACGGAGGGTTAACCGCGCGCGCGGGAGTGACGTCTGAATCATTCAGGACGCGGTTCGATAATGTAGAAACTCGCGGCGCCGCCGCGAGAATTCGGGTCAGATTCCCGAAACGGACGCGACCTGACCCCGCGCGCTGAAGAGCCTCGAAAACCGAGCAAAAAAAGAAATAGAAACAAAGGATGAACGAAGAGGAGCAGAAAGAGCTAACGGCTCACTCCAAGCGAAAGGCGCGAGTCAACCTGAATCGTAGCAAGGCGAATGAAACATGCCAGCCGTGTAGAGACGAAACGCACGCACACGGCAGGCAGTCAGGTAGACAGGCAAGGCGAGCATACGCCTTTGCGCGTTTCGTAAGGACTACGATATCTCGTAATCCTTAGCTGGGTAAAGGTTCGACCACCTCCGACACTGACTGAGAAAGGCACGGCAAGGTCTAACGCTCTGAGAGAGATATAGATAATGAAAGGTTCTACTCACTCGGGTAGTGATCGTCCTCGGATATGTCGGCGGGCTCCGGGGTCGAGATGTTCTCCTGCAACAGACACAAAGCCACCGTTAAGTCCTCAAGCGTTTCCACCCGCTCGATGTTAGCGCGCGCGGCTTAGTCGCGAGAAGCCCTCTCTTCCTCAGTCTCGCCCTCGGTGGGCTGCTGCAGAAGTCAGGACGGGGGAGGACAAGGGTCTCCTTCTCGCGAGGCGGCGCGCTTAAAAGTTGGCGACACTCATTTCCCGCAGGGCCCCCCCCCCTCCCCTCCCCGCCGGTTATGATGATGCCGGACGCAGTCGTGATTACATCTCGCGTCGCGATGTCTTCGCGCACGAACCTTCCGGACGACTCTTTGTAGTCGCTCGTTTCGATTGACTTAAGGTAAAAGTACCAGTTTCCGGGCACGTATCTAATATAAGTACCAGTTCTCGGACATTTTTATTATCTTGGCATTTCAATACGAATATTTTAACTTTTAATATAAAATGTATGTATACACTCAATATTTGTGTACATATATTTTATGTGTGTTAAACGTTTAAATATTTATATTTTAAGATATTTATAATTTAATATGATTTAATTATATAATTTAATTTTAAGATATTTATAATTTAAGATCAAAACAATAAGAATGTTCAGGTGCATGCCTGGACCTTTACCTGACGTGGCTCGCGACATGCGTCGCTCTTCCACGGAGAGAAGTGTTTCTCAACTCGAAGTCAATGTGGACAACGCTTAGGTAATTTCTTCGTTTACTGCATCCCGTTAAATTTAACAAGTAATTCGATCTAACGGATAATTTCATTATTTATATTTTGTTGTGTTTAGAGATACGCGAATTATTCGAATCGGGTGAGATTCGAACTATTCAAAGTTTGGAACTGCAAAAATTTCAATATAGATCTCGGGGTACAGTGAAGATCTTGGATAGTCATGTTTCTCACTAATTAGCAAGAATGGACGTATAATAAGCAAGAATGAACAAGTAATATTTGGGGTCCCCACTTGTCTGTCCTTAAAAGAGTCAACAAACCCAGAATTAAATAATTAGGAAGATGTAGCAGAGTTCTAATATCAATAATTAAGATACAGGATGGTTGAAAGGTTGATTCACTGCATATATTGCAAAAGATCGAAAAAAGTACTCGGAAATATTCGATTAAATTTAATCGGATATTCTGATCGGATATAAAAATTCATTGATATTTTGATCGAAAATATCCATTTGTTAATTTTTTATTGGATAATTTCTTTCAGTATACTTATATCCAGTGACTAAAACTCCTACAGGTCATGCCACTAATTACTAATTGTTGTTAATCAAAAGTTAAATTGCGACGATTCGAGTGGAATTTCGCTCATTCGGTCCGATTCGATGGGTAATCCTTGATTCGCGTATCTCCAATAATTACAGAGTTTCTCTCTCGTTATAGAATGATTTTCGTCGCGCTTGCAACAATTATTAGTTTTCCGTCGATTGTTCGACGGCCATCCAATACATAACAACTTAGGAAAAAAGTAAAAGCAGGAAACTTAGGGAAAAAGCAAAAGCAGGAAAATGTAAGGGAATACGCAAGTCGCGTCACTGCTACGTAAGAGAGAGATGACGTTGAGAAGAAGCCATCGAAGGCTGTCCGCGTTATCATACGCCCACAGGAAGACCGTGGACTTTATTGTCCCAGATCAAGAGCCCGCGGTGACTCGCGATTCGTCGAAACGCAAATTGCTTACGCCTCGGCGCTGCGTGTTGCGACGAAGGTGACGCGTACGTCGCGAAACCTCGGATCGTTAGCGCACACCAGCGCGTCGTCCCTCGACCCTTTCGCGCGTCAACGCGATCAATTTGTCTCATTCGAGCGCGGCGCTTCGTACGCGTACCAAAAGAGAGAGATCTCTTCTAAACGTAGCTCGCGAAATCAAATCGCAGATCGTTCTTGCCTGACGCAAAATCTCACTTCGTGACGACGACGCGAGCAGGTGCGAGAGAGCTCAATATTGGTCGCCGACGGATTGACACGCCGATTGTCGCGCTTATTTCTACTGATTACTCATTTAGAATTTGAATTATCAAAGATAAGAGAGACCGGGAATAGACCGAGATGTCCTATATCTTGGAATTTCGAAGTTACAACTTCTCAGACATTTAATTGTTGCGACTGACTGTACAAACATGATAGAGGTAATCTTTTTCTATCGGTGCCTGACCCTGTGAACAGTATATTTTATTTTGTGATAATTAAAATACAAACATGCAGTGACATAGCCATCTTGCCTCGGCACCGGGTTGCGCAGTAGTGCAGTATCATACTCGTAAGAAATTTCACTCTAGCTAGTAATACATTTCTTAATCGTATTCAGTCACGATGGAGAATATTAATACAAATTTCTCGTGAAGCTCGGAAATTTATTTGGCTATTATCAAATCAGGGTTTTTTTCTATTTCTTAACTGTAATATTATTCCGATTTTAATGAAACTCAGGGAAGAGTTTATGTTCTAAAAGGATCACGATTTCCACTATCCCTCTCGAGATAAATACTGAAAAAAAGTACATGAGCAACATACTTCTAGGTGTAGCCATATAGCCCTGATCTCCTCTATCGTAAATGAATGCCGTCAACTCGCTGTTGACTACTGTTGGCGATATATTTAACATTGCATGAGATTTATACGATTTTTTTCAACACTTCGGATGTTTCATACATTAATTAGTGAGACAGTACGATGTTATAGCCGGCCGCTGGCGACGGCAATTATCGTGTTAACAATTCTCGACGAGGTTTCAGATTGTCGGTCTCCCCGTGCGCTCTTCCTCCGACACACCTTTCGCGTGCTACATTTCGCTCGGACATTTTTCCAAGCAGACCAGCGACACGTTAAAACCGCGGCACGAAAACGCTTTCCCACACCGCTCGACCGAAAAACCGTCTTCTTTTACGGCCCCCGTCCGAGATGGAGTGGTCAGGGTCGGGAGGGAATAAGGCCGAGGCTCTTCTCGCCGAGAGAGTAGGATCGCCTACCTATATGGCCGGGTCGTTTTTCATCGGCGCGCGGAAAGAGCAGCGAGAGCGAGGCGGCGGCACGCTCGTTCTCCGCCGCGCGCCGTGATATGGCATCGCGCCGCGCTCTAATCGATCCGCACGAGCGCGAGCGATCTTGGAGGCTAGCGACGCGCGATTCTATCTCGATTTGATTGATTTTACCCCGGCGAAATTAACGGGTTTTCCCCGCTGAAACGAACGAACGCGCGGACGGTCGGCCGGCCGGTCGACCGACCGACCAGCCGGCGGTTTCGCAAGGCGTGCACCACGTAGCCGAGCGATGCCTGGGCCGACTGGTTGGTTGTCGGCTCGCCGTGCTGCAGCGGCAGCAGCCTCTCCTATCTGTGTCAGGTCTCGTGTTGCAACTCCAGAAGGTCGACCGGTATACAACGCGGAGAGCACGGCCAATTGATACCGGCCACAACTTTGTCCAGCGGGCTTGTAGGACATAGGCGGCGTGCGAGCGAGAGAGCGAGCGAGCGAGCGAGCGAGCGCGCGCGCACGTTTGCACATGTGTGTACGGATACGAGTGCATGTGTGTTTTTGCGTGCGTGTGTACGCGCGCGAACGCGCCGCAAAAACTCCTCCTGATGATGTAACCGAGAAATTCCGACGGACGACGAGCGGACGAACGTGGAAATCGCAAGAGAGGCGAAGAGATCCAATCGCGGCGATACGTCGCGCCGAGCGTTCTTCTTTTTTTTTTTATTTTTTTTCTTCTTCTTTCCCCTTCTTCCGACACTCCTCTCTTTTCTCTTTCAGTTGCGTGAATCGCCTTCTGTGGTTTCGTTTTGTTTCCTGATTTCCTTGTTTTATGTTTGCAAAGTGCAAAAAGAAATTCTGTCCTCCAGACGGTACGGCGATGTGTTTTATACGATGCGTTGGTGGTTCCCTCCGCGGTTACGTTAGGAGTGGCGCTTGATCAAACGTTTCTCTCTCTCTCCCCTTCTCCCTTTCGCGAATTTGATTCGCGTCGCTTTTATCTATGTTGAACTAGAGATAGGTTTTCGTTTACGTATCGGCGATCGTTATCGGATACTGCGATGTGCAGTCGTTAGTTACACATATGAATCAGCGAGTCCCTCTTATCCGAGTGCAAGTCACTTTCCTTCGCTACGACATACAAGCACGGGAAAACGCGTGCGTTTCTCCACGTCGGAGCGGCTCTCGCGTTCCGGCTAACGTACAGAATTTTCATATCCCACCCGTCTCTAATATCAGCGAACTGTATTTTGCAATCGGCCGGTAACGGGTCGACGGTACAGTACAGTGCAGCACGGTGCGGCACGGCGCAGGGTATTCGCAGGGTTCATCGGTATTAGATAGAAGCCGGGCGCAGAATCTGTTTAATAATCGGTGGAATTTATTGGCTGGGGCGCGTCTCATCCTCTGCTCCGTTCTTTCTCCTTCTCCTTCCTTTTCCGGCCGCAGTCCAGCTACACCGTTGACTTCCAGCTGCATCCGCGGAAGGTTATTTTAAGAATCTTTCATTAAGAATTTAATATAACCCAATTTTCACGGAACCGGTCGCCGGAGATACCTGCGAATACGTACTTATCGATCATAATGAATCACTTTTGTGATCCGGGCGAAGAGTCGACTGGCGCTTCGCAGCAGAAAGTAGAAGAAAAACGGGAGTGGGAGAGAGAAGGCGGTTGTGGGTGCAGCGCAGATAAAAATAAATGTAAATCTCTCTCCCTCTCTCTCTCTCTCTAATCTGTTAATTTACTGTCACAATTAGCTTACAGATATAGCGGTGGTGAGAAAACATACAGAACGGTGGGTAACGAAAAATAAGCTCAGACTTAATGCTAACAAGACCAAAACACTGATAATTATTAGTGCTCATTATAATGAGGAGCGTACGCTATATTATTAAACTCGGGGATCAGAGAGACATACACTGAGAGAAAAATTATCTTAAAATCAACAAATATTTCCTTGGTGAGTGTCATTAACATATTTATTTAAATCTATATTCTCTTTACTTAAATCAAATATTG